CAGACTTCAGACGGCCCGCTCGACAGTGAAATCTCTAACTAGGCACACTTATCCAGCGAGATAAGATAAGCGTAAAGGCGAAGACGCGGTAGTGAATTCCAGGTACATGTCTTGAAAGGCGCTGCTAAACCGACCGTCGATTGCTTCTGGCGCAGAGTACAGCTGCAGAACAACGACAGCTAGGACAGTTGACCATGAATGTAGACCGGTGAATGTAGTCAAACGTGGAAGATACAATTCAACAGCAATAAGGCTGCCATTGCTGAGTCGCACATATAAATGTGAGCGAGATCCCGAAGGGAGCGATTCCCTCATGACCAATAATGTCGCCGGTATACAAGTCATGAAAATATGCGAAAATATTATGATAATCATATCATGTAAATACTTGATACATGTGAATGTATTATACATTATAATACATATTGTATTTAAACATTATAATACATATTATTATACGTGCACAAGTGAACTAATTAAAGCCAGTACAGCCAAGTGTATGTATAAACACGCTTAATTTTCGGTCAATTTGAATGTGAATGTTTATACGCTCGTCATAAATTCATAATAAGAAGTCAAACTTCCTCGTGCAATGTTTAGCGCCTTCATCTCTTGATAATAATAACATGATCATAATCTAGTGAAAATATAAATACAATAATAACATTTAGTGCATCACGTGATAAATTGTTGAAATTCTATTGGATAACGCAGCAGGCACTATGAAGCAATAGTGCCCGCCTGAGCGGGCACTATTGCTTGCGCGACGCATTGTTGTTATAACGCATTGTGTTCACGTCACGAATCTCCTGCGTCTGGGCGCCACGCAAGAGTTTCGAACGGCGGTTGTGTTTGTGTCGAACGTTTTGTTACATCGAATGCACCGGCAAATTAGGGAGTATAAAGAAGGTATATAAGCATGAAAAGTAGATTGCATAGTCATGTGATGCACTAAAAACATTAATGCCTCGCTACCGCTCGGGCACTATTCCTTCCCAAAGCAACACTATGAGAGCATAGTGCCCCCAACAACAGGCATTAATATATAAACAATGATAATTAATATAATGTAAGCGTAATAATATTAATTTTTGCGAGATGATCTTGCAGTATCAGTGATGATTTGGTTTCATTGTCATAGTTGTAACAATTACATACGTACCGACGAATAAGGCAATTTCAATGGGCTCACTTACAGCCACTTACCGTAACTTCCAGGCTAACGCCCGGCGACCGTAGCAACTGGAGACGTGTGGAATGGAGAGTGGAGTGGGGTGAAGAATGCGGCACATGAAATCACAGAGTCAGTATATAATAAATTGGAAATAATGATGAAATCACCGGGCTTATAATATTATATTGGCCAGGATTCGTGTAATTGATCGTATGCAAGCCGGATTATATGTACATTTAAAAGCCCCGAGTTTTGTTTTACAATGAAATGATTTAATGCGCATTCGTTCTGGACGGTTAATAGTCAATTAAGGCAGTTGCAAAACTGCTTAATGGAGCCTAATAGAAAAATCAGAGCGATGAAACCAAATTGCACATTTCCTGTCACGAGCGGTTTCTGACCCGGGTGTGTGTGTGTATGTGTGTGCGCGCGTACTCGTGTGCGTGCGTGCGTGCGTGGGCGTGTGTGTGTGTGTGTGTGTGTGCGCCTGTGTGTGAGTGTATGCCTGCGATCGCATGTGTGTGTGCGTGCGTGCGTGCGTGCGTGTGCGCGTGCGTGTGTACCAACGCAGCAGCTGCACCACTAGTAGCAGCAACTCGGTCATGCATCAACGCTGCCACTGCCGGACATATTAATCACTAGTGAGAGTAGTTTCGCTTGTTTTTAATCGACACGCGCTTTTAAGCGGCAGCGATCACTTCGGCGATGTTGCGTGTCGCATCAATCCGTGTCACATTACACACGCGGGCGCAGCCTAACGCGAGCGTATAACGCCGCGGCGTCTCGCCTCCCACCGCCACGTCAACCTTCTTCGCTCTGCCACAGGGTTAGCTCTGCTTATGTAGCCCTTCGCTCTGCCACAGGGTTAGCTATGCTTATGTAGCCCTTCGCTCTGCCACAGGGTTAACTATGCATATGTAGCCCTTCGCTCTGCCACAAGGTTAGCCCTGCTTATGTAGCCTTCGCTCTACAACAGGGTAGCTATGCTTATTTAACCCTTCTCTCTGCCACAGTGTTAACTCTGCTTATGTAGCCGGTCCCTCTGCCACAAGCCTAGCGTCACCTATGCAGCCCGTCGCTCCGCCTCAGACCTGTAGCAAAGCAAGGAACTACATAGACAGACTTAGTGAACATCTAATATGACTACAGCCACGCGATCACGCGCGCCCCCTAATGACAGTTTTTCACGATCGTTGTCACCATCCAATTAACGCGCAATTCGTAAGGATTAATTACTTAATTACGAATACGATACGTGCGTTCGAGTTACCGTGGATTATTAATTTGATTCGATTCATGATCACAACTCGCGGGCGCGTTTATTGAATGTTATACGATCTTGATATTCTTTAAGTTGGCGTTGAATTATGATGATGATGAGAATAATAATAATATTAATAATAATAACAATAACAATAACTATATGTATAATAAAAATAAGTATATTATTATAGGTATTATAGAACAACTATGGGAATAAGAACCATACGAAATGGCGACCATATTGTTATGTATGATCTCGTACTGCAAATTCAATCTCCGCTCTCCTAATGGCGATCATCCATCGCTAACACGCTGACCTCTGACCTATTTATTTGCGCCGAGACGCTGACGGAGGTATCTATCGTTCGCCGTCATCGCCATCGTCGTAGTCGGCTCCATTTCCGGCCGCGCGCAGCCGACCGGAAGCCGATAACGTCGCGCGTAATCCGGATTTGCAGCTCGCGCGCTCAGCGCCGGCTGTCGGCGCGGCAGGCAATTACGCCGTTTAATTATTTGCGGCTGATATTCTATTAAAACTTGTAATGGCGGCTAATGCGCGCGCTGCATTTAACGGTGGTTTGCAGCTCTCGCGCCCACCGAGGGCCACGACACCCACACGCCAGTAAGCTAGCAGACGAGAGAGAGAGAGAGAGATGTGGTCGCGCAGTGTTAAGAGGGAGAGAGAGCGAGAGAGAGAAAGAAAGAAAGAAAAAGAGCGAGAGAAAGAGAGAGAGAGAGAGAGATAGAGAGAGAAAGAGAGAGAGAGAAAGAGAGAGAGAGAGAGAGAGAGAGAGAGAGCGCGAGGAGGGGGAGAGCTGCGGTCGCCCTAATCGTGTTAGGGTTGGGGAGCGAGTG